CTTCTTGTTAAATATATTTCTACTGACTCTAGCACAAAATTACATATTTCCTAATCGCACTCATCACCAATGGAGACATGTTGTGCATCTTTGAAAATTTTGTTTATTTCATGGTCTCATACTAGAATATAAACTGCAAGTGAATAGGAAACTTTATCCTGGAAGTCAACAATGCTGGGTACATTGTATATATTTGATCAATACATTTTGAATGAATGACCAGGGCTTAAACAGCAATTTGAATTTTGCTAGTTTTCATTAATACTTTTCAATACTATAGTGTTTATCTATTCACACACACACACACACACACACACACACACGTTTAATGAATGGGAACTTATTTTACACCTATAGCTGGGGGAGGGACAATCTTGACGGGGTGCCAGGCAACCACAAGAACATGGCAAAGGCATAAATGAGTGGAGAAGAGCAGTGTTGGATGTGAGGTAAAGCCAGTGTCACTTAAGTCCTGTCTGAGGGATAACAGAGACAGAAGCAAGCTCTGCTTAGGTTCAAAAGCAAACATGGGTGTGCAGTGTCACTCAGCTATGGATCCTGACCAAGCCAGATGAAGAAAATGAATCTTCATTTCTTTTTCTACTACTCACAGGGTTGCTGCAATGATTTATTGAGAATCCTAATGAGAGAAACAAAGCTTTATAATCTGTGCACATGTAGGCTAACATGAGGAATTAGAGACCACTCCCAGAGCATGAGCATTGCTTGTCTCTGTCCCACCGAGTATGGGGTCAAACCACTCAACAATGTACTTTTCTTAAAAAGAATCTTTTTTATTTATTTATTTGTATGTGGTGCCAAGGATCGAACTCAGTGCCTCACACATGCGAGGTAAGCACTCTACCACTGAGCTGCAGCTCCGGCTCCTAAACAATGTACTTTTTTTGTGGGGGGAGGTTTACCAGGGATTGAACCCAGGTGTGCTTAACCACTGAGCAACATCCCAGTCCTTTTTCTTGCTAAGTTTGTGAGACTGGTCTTAAACTGACAATTCTCCTGCTTCAGCCTCCTGAGCAGCTGGGATTACGGGTGTGTACTACTGTATCAGCACAAAAGCTACTTTGAAATCTTATTCCAGGCTCTGAGGTATACCTCAACAGTAGAGTGCTTGACTAGCACAAATGAGGCCCTAGGTTCAATCCCCAGAACTGTGGAGGGGGAAAATGCTTCCCAATAATAGAGTCCTCAGGCAGGAGAATGAGAGATATTGGAACCTGCTTTCTGGGGACATAGCTCAGTTAGTAGAGTGCTTGCCTTGCATCCACAAAGTCCTGGGTTCAATCCCCAGCACTGAAAAAAAAAAAAAAAATATATATATATATATATATATATATATATATGTCTTCTCAGAAGCCAGCAGGGCATGGATATTTAGCAATTGTGGATTGAAACACAATGAAAAGGAAGAAGTAATGACACTGGGGTCAGAAGACTTTAGTCCTAGTCTCAGTCTGCTTTCATTAATTATACAACCTTGGGAAAGTTATTACCATTTTCCTTATCAGGAAAAAACAAGACAGCATCTCTCACAGGGTTCTTATAATGATTGAATTAGTCAACTTTCCATTACTTACTTTGGCTCACAGTTTCAGAGATGTTAGTCCCTGTCCACTTCCTTGTGTTTGGGCCTGTGGTGAGGCAGATTATGATGATGAGGGATGTGTGATACAGCATAGCTGCTCACCTTAGTGGTGGCCAAGAGAGGGAGAAAAGGGCCAGGGACAAAATATACCCTTCAAAGGCCTGTCTCCAAATAAATAGGCTCTGCCTCCTAAAGGCAAAGCTATCAACCAAGTGTTTAGCACAATTGCCAAAAGACAAAGTTATAACAAATTTAAAGATCTAATTGACTTTCATTTGCATTTATAGAATAAGGCAACAAATTGCTGAGCAGAGGAAGTTGGTTTTATGAAGCAGCCACAGAGAATAAAAAAGATTGTTTCAAACTTTCTTTCCCGATAAAAGTCAAAAGTAAGGGAATTTCCTTACTTTTGACTTTTATCAGGAAAGAACTGGTCTGTTTGGGGATTTGGCTAACATCTCTCAATTTCTTGGAAGGTCAAATAGACAACTTAGTTTGGCTTGGTGGTGTGGAACTTCAGCAAATTCCACTTTGGTTTGATCTGCTGGGCATAGTTCAGAAGCTTAATCCAAACCAATGGACTCCTATAGATCATATAGGGTGTGATCTGCTTAGCATCAAAATAGCTCATCTCTAAAGGTGAATATGATGCTAATGGCTGGTTTTGGCTGTAGGGCAGAAATGTATAGGATGAGTATGGGCACTTTTTAGGGCAGAAATGTATAGGATGAGCATGAACACTTTGATGTGTCAGAAAGCAAGTACATTCTCTAAGACTATGTTAAGGCCAGAGAAAAAGGATCACAAGAATGAGCTCTCCTTGGCCACATACAGGGAAATTTGAGCATTAAAAAAAAATGTATGAAATTGAATGAAACACATTGATTATACTTTAAAAAGATCCACAGCTTCATAATGATTCTCATAGGATAAAAAAGCAAAATCCACTTTAAAAATGAAGAATTAGGGGCTGGGGTTGTGGCTTAGTCATAGAGTGCTCACCTAGCATGGGTGAGGCACTGGGTTCATTCCTAGCACCACATAAAGATAATAAAGGTATTTATCCATATATAACATACATATAATGAAGAATTAAACATTTGTCCTTCCTTTGCTATCAAGGTATATTTAAGGGCAATGAAATAGTAGCCTTAGTTCATGAGAGAAAGAATTATAGATAATAAATGTAGAAAGAATGATTGAATTAGAAAATTAACTGGGCTGGGCGAGTAGCACTTGACAGAGTGTTTGCCTAGTATGTACAAGGCCCTGAGTTTGATCCCCAGTGCTGCATAAAAAGAAAAAATTACCACAACCCCTGATGAAATAACAGCAAATGAAAACAGCAAGTAAGCAATGAACATTGGACAAAACCATTAGACAGAGTATAATGAAGAGCATCACAGAGGCAGACTGTCTTCAGAGGAGCCCAGCGTCATTGAAACCGGAACAGTGAAGCACTGCGTGTTGTCAGTGCACATCATTTCCTGGGAAGTATTCTTACTCACCCTACCACATTGAATCCAGGTACCAAATCTCTATATCCACCCTCAATTTACAGGAAATGTGGGAGAGGAACAATTTTAAATGGCACTGGAAGAAAATTAGTCAAATTCACAAAATGGAACTCTACATGCGGAATGACCCAGTTTCTAAAAGGCAATGAAAGGGAGAAAATAAAAGGGTGAGAGAGGGAATGCTCTGGAATAGGAGACACATAAAAGCCATGGAAGTAAATTTCATATGCAGATTTTGTATGTAATCTGAGTTGAACAAACCAATTGTAAGAGAGTGCAGCCAGACTACTAGGGAAATTTTATTCTGGACTAGGTATAACTCCAGGATTAGCTGATTTTCCGGTGTGAAAAGGCATTGTAGTTTTGCAAAACACAGATCTACTTTTCTATTTTTTCAGAGATGTATACTGATATGTACAAAAGTGAAATGACATAATATTTGTAATTTGTTCTAAAATGCAGCAGTAGAAGAAAACGGGAATACGTGGAGTTTCAGGATCTTGGCAACTGTTGAACGTTTGTGATGGGACATGAGAGTTCATTGTTCTCTTTGCTTTTGAGAATGTGCATTTTCATAACAAATTTTAAAGAGTTTTTTTTAATTATGTATAGGAGAGTGGTATAGTTGAAAGACCCTAGCCCAGTAACCCCGAGGCTTAGTTACAGAATAACCAGGCCATGTCACAAACCTGCGCAGGCACCAGAAGTGTTTTTGAAATCAGTTAAGTGTAACCGATTAAAAGGAAAAAAAAAAAAAAAACAGGATGGTTGGGAAAGAGCAGAAGAATAGATTCCAGGGCATGCCTGACTAAACAGGGGCTAATAAGCAGGAATAGAAAAATCAGAGTGCTCATATGTAACTGTCATATGGTGTAATTCCAGGAACATAAAGTGAAAAATAACTTTACCCTTTAGGTAACCTGTATGTTGGGTTCAAAATCACCAATAAGAAACCTGTTGCTCACCGCGCGCGCGAAACCTGCCCCTTGACCCTATAAAAAACCTGTACTCCAACGCCCGGTGTGCCAGTTCACCAAAGCTCCGGCTGAGGTTTCGCTGAGCACCCACAGGCGTCTGTGTCTGAATAAACCTCTTGCGTTTGCAGCCAGTGCCTCGTGCGTCTTTCTTGGACAGGGAATCCGTGGGTCTTTCATAGTGAACAAGCATTAGTTCTCCTTCTTCACACAGATATAAGATATGTGGGTGGAAGCTGAAACCCCCTCAGTGTTTTATTTAAAATACTCTGGGATTTGTTCATCTAAGGACTTAGGCAGGCCACGTGCCCACCAGAGATCTGGCCCCAGAGTGCGCAGGAAAAAGTTCAAATCAGCAACTGTCACAGGTGGGAACTCTGTAAGACCAAAGTTTGAAAAGCTTTTGTTTTTCTTTTTCCTTTTTAAGTAGGGAATACTTTTCCATCTACCCTTAGGGGTATCTGCAATTTTCCCAGGATAAGCATTAACCGAGCAAGCCAAGAAGAACCAAAGGTAGGCCTTCCCGCCTATTCCCTACAAGCGGGATGAGAGAGGCAGGACTAGGCAATGAGACCCCCAGGTTCTGGGCCTGCGTGAGGTCAGCCTAGCGGCGCGCGGGGCTCTTTCCCGCCTCGGCTGCCCTAGCAACTGCGCAGAGGGGCGAGGGCGAACGGAAAAAACAACGTGTGGCCCCGCCAGCCACAGGAGCTCCCAGCCCTTGACAACTTCCTTGCAGTCGCTGTACAGGCAGATGCATTTTCAGTGCACGCTTCCGAGGTGACCAACACCTCTCCAGGAAGCCCGCCTTTCGCTGGGCATCATTACCAAGCGGTCCTCGCGAGCACTCGGCCCGCCGTTCCCCAGGAGCTCCTCGTTGTTGCACACCTGGATGGTTCTCGCCTGCAGGCCAGCACAAACAGAATGTTGAGAGGAGTTCGCCAGCCAACCTTCTCCAGCCCGCAGCGACTGTCACCAGGCTGTCACCATCGCCGGCCAGGCCAGCACCTTCGGGACTCTATGACGTCGGCGAAGCTCCACCCTGGCCACGCCCCTCCAGGTGGAGCCAATGGGAGCGCGAGGCGGGCAACTTGCCCCTTCGCCCCGCCCCTCCGGCGGAGCCAATCGGAGGGCCGGGCCCCTCCGCCCTCCAGGGGCCCGCGAGGGCTGGCTCCTCCGCGGCGGGGAGCGATGGACCCGGGCCCCGAGCCTGCTCGTCTGCGCGTCCGCCGGGCCCGGCCGCCGCCAGCTGAGGCGAAGCTGCCGGTGAACTACGAGGAGGAGCTGTACGACTGCCTCGACTACCACTACCTGCGTGACTTCCCGGCCTCCGGGGCGGGGCGCAGCAAGGGCCGGACGCGGCGCGAGCAGGAACTGCGCACCAACCGGCCGGTGCCCGGCGGCCACGAGCGCAAGGTCGCGCAGAGGCTCCTCAACGGCCAGCGGAAGCGTCGCCAGCGCCAGCTGCAGCCCCGGCCGCGCACTTGCCTCGCCTAAGCGCTGGTAGGTGCAGACCGCGACCCCGGGGCCGTCTTCCCGCCGGGGCTGCCCGGCCACGCTGCAGTACGCTCGCCTCTCATGGCTGTCGCTGCAGGGGTGCAAAGCCGCCTTCCGCCAGCCATACCGCAGCCGGGCCCAAAGCCGCAACGAAGCGCAGGAACCGCTTGGAAGACAGGAGCGCTCTTCCAGCGCTCACATTCACACTAGAGTACTGATTTCTTTTTCTGTCTGATTTTCTACAGGATACTCAAAGGACCCGATAAAAGTACTTTCACTTAGTCCAACTGTAACTGTGGTCCTCCATGTTGGTCAACAGAACTTTTCGACATCCTTAAGTTTGCTGCTTCAATCTTTTCCTTACCAATTGTTAATTAAGTTACGTCCAAGTGGATATGCCTTTTAGAGTTTTTAATTAAAACAGAACAGCAAGAATGGCATTTTCAACTCTTCTGGGCTTTTTTCCCTCTTCTAGTTACTATAGTAACTCGTTTCTGGTGCATAAATACTTGGGTTCTTATATGCAGAGATCATACAGACGGATGGGGGAGACCAAAGAGGAATTTGTACAAGATTTCTATCCAAATGTCACAGACCACACTGAAGGTTTAAAATTTGTTATAATAGGACACACTCAACAGTAGGTAGGTTCTCTGCACTTAACTGGTGTCCTAACAATCCTTTGAGGTAGATGCAGCTATCCCCACTTTAGAGAAGAAATTCTAAGGCACAGTGAGTTCAAGTAACTTTCCAGAGATTACACAGCTAATTAGGCAGTAGACCGTGTTTAGTATAACAGTAAATATTTCATTCAATTTTAACCAGAATTTTTCTACATGGTATGTTAATACATATATGCAAACCATACTGTAGTTGAACACTTTTCTGAAAATGCAAAATATTTTGTGGTTGCAGATATCTATAATCCCAGCTACTCTGGAGGCTATAAGATCACAAGTTGGACGCAAGCCTGGGCAACAGTCAGACACTGTCTCAAAATAAAAAAGGCCTTGGAATGTAGCTCAGTAATAGAGCCCTTGACTAGCGCTGATGAAGCCCTGGATTGGATCCCCAGTACTTCTCCCCTGCAAAAAAAGGGAAAGAAAAAATGAAAAAATTTACAGGAGGCTCATTTTCCTTAAGCTAACTGATAAAGGAATAATGAGGAGCTGGGTACAGAGGTGAAGCCTGTAATTCCAGTGACTCTTTAGTGGCCAAGGTAAAAGGATCACAAGTTTGAGTCAGCCCCAACAATTTAATTAGGCCCTTCTTCAAAAAATGAAAAGGGGCTGGGTAAGGTGCTCACCTGTAATCCAGCGATTCCGGAGGCCAACACAGGAGGATTGGAAGTTCAAAGCCAGCTGCAGCAATTTAGCAAGGCCCTAAACAACTTAGCAAGACCCTGTCTCAAAAGAGAAAAAGCTGGGCATGTGGCTCATGATAAAATACACCTGGGTCCAATCCCCAGTACCAAAAATAAGTAAAAGGGGATATAGCTCTGTGGTACAGTGCTCCTGGTTCAATCTCCAGTACAAAAAAAAAAAAAAAAAAAAAGGCAGCTTTTTTTCAAATGCATTTTCAAATTTATAATTTTCCCCAAGATACAGGAAGTGTTTTAGGCAGGCTTGGTGGTGCATTCCTGTAATCCCAGCAACTCCAGAGGCTGAGGCAAGTTTGAGGACAGCCTGGACAACTCAGCAAGGTTCTAAACAACTCAGTGAGATCCTATCTCAAAATAAAATGGCTGGAAATGTAGCTCAGAGGTTAAGGGCTCTTGAGTTCAATCTCCAGTACCAAAAAAAAAAAAAAAGAAAAAAAGTTTAAAGTACCCCAAACCAGCAGATAAAGGCATTCACTTTTCCAGCATCAATTTTCCTTAGCTGTTCAACAGTGTTGTATGTTTCAGAACCACTCACAAACTCCATGTTTAAGGAAAAGAGTTGAGTTACAATTGTAAAATTATGCAGAATATGGCAGGCTGACTGTCCTCTTTAGTCTGCATTCAGGCAGGCCTTCTGCACCTATCAGTGCGTCCTTGATTGGGACAGAAGATAATATATTGAAAGGAACAGCTCATGTGAATACTGGCTGAGATAATCTGCCACTCTGGCATCCAGAAAACTTTTGAGTGGTAACTCAGTTTCCATCAAGCTCGTTTTCTCATTTGTAAAGTGGAAATGATATTGGTTCACCTTGCAAAACTGTATTACAGACAGAATGTAGAAAGCATCTAACACAGTTAAGAGCCAGCACATGATAGGTACTCAAATGAGTGGTAGCTAATTTTAAATTTATAGAATATCTTTCTTCTACTTACTCTTGAGTAATGAAATCTTAAATTTTTTCACTTACTACTTTAATTCTTCTGCTAAAATGTCTCCAGCAATGTAGTATGGTAGTAGTCTGGCTTTGGAGGTAAGCACTATGGAGCCTTGGACAAGTTATTTAAAATCTAAGCATCTTTCCCTTACCTATAAAATGGTAGTAATTGTAATGTCTCTAAGTGTAAATGAAATACTGAGTATAAAGCTCTTAGTACAGGGCTAGGGACATAACTCAGTTGGTAGAGAGCTTGCTTCACATGTACAAGGCCTTGGGTTCAATCCCCAGGACCACTTAAAAAAAAAAAAAAAAAAAAAAAAAAAACTCTCAGTACCATACACACACACAGCAGGCGTTAATTTTTTTTTTCCAGTATCAGGGATTGAACCCAACTCATACAAGCTAGGCAAGCACATTCTGTCACTGAGCTACATCCCCAACCCTTTTTTTATTTTTATTTTGAGACAGGGTCTCGCTAAGTTGCCCAGGATGGCCTCAAACTTGAAATTCTCCTGCCTCAGCCTCCTGAGTAGCTTGAATTACAAGCATGTGCCCCATGCCTAGCCTTAAGGTAATTTTTAATGTTTTCATTGCTTGGTCCCCCTTCTACCTCTCAAATATAATGTACAAATTGGCTCTGTGGTGCAATGGATAGAGCATTGGACTTCTAGCCAAACCTGCAGTAGCCATTCAAATACCATGTCCAGATTAATCTTCCTAGAGAAAATTTTAATCATACAAAAACCCTCAATGGCTTCTCTAACCGTGTAGTGTAAAAAGCTTGAAATCCTTATATTGTCCTAAAAATCATATATTGGATTTTAACTTAAAACTTCACTTAATGACTTGTTTGTATGGTTCTTAGTACTTTCAGATCAGCAGTTCCAGCTGTTATTTTTTTTTTGTCAGATATGTGAAAGGCACTATATTCATATATCTCAGTTCTCCAAAGAAAAATGACATGTAGAGCAACTTACCATTTTGGTTCTTCCACAGCCAACTGTTAAGTACAGCATGCCCAGACAGTGGCTGTGTCAAACCGACACTCTGTAAGATGATCTGCTTAATAGAGTTTGCTTGTTTTAGATGCTAGAACTTTTTAATTAAATTTAAAACATGGTGGCTGTAGAAAAATGTGTATTATATACTGCTGTGTAACAAATTACTTCAGACTTAGTGGCTTAAAACAAGTCACATACTGCTTAACCAGTGGATGTGTTCCGGGAAATGCACTAGGCAATTTCCTTGTTGTGTGAACACAGTGGTGCACCTGCACAAATGGAGATGGCTAGTGCCACTTGACAGTGCAGTCTTCTTGACTGTACTCACCTCAGGGTCATTCTGGGTCATCCTGACTCAGGTGTCTCCTGAAGCTGCAGTTAAGCTGTTGGCTCACAGACCTCTGAAGGCTGTTTCCAAAATGGCATACTCCAGTGACTGTGACAGGCCTCAGTTCTTTGCCACATGAGGCTCTATCCAAAGGCTGCCTGGGTTTCATGGCATGACATCTGGCTTTCCTCAGAGTGAGGAACCCAAAGAGAGTGAGTGTAGAGGCAGCTGCAGAACTCTTATGAACTAGTTTCCAAAGTTAGACCTTCACTTTTGGATTTTCCTGTCAGGAGTGAGTCACTAAATACCACCCATATTCAAAGTGAGAGACATAAAACTCCATCTTTTGAAGGGAATGTCTAAGGATGTGTGGATGCATTTTAAACTACCATGGTATGTTTCATTATTGTGTATTCATTGCAGAAAAATTGTAATTCCAGTACCCAATTGTGGGGAGTCGCTCTGAATGACCATGCCTTCCAGTGCTGAAGCACAAGGCTCTGACCAGTCACTACATTTCGTGGTGACTTGGGAATTGTCCCAGCTTGGATAGCAAAGCAGGTCTTCAGGTGTAGGCGTCATCTGCAGGGGTTGAGCTACACTCACCTGCTCCCTTGTAATCCTCTCTTCTGCCATTTTATGGATAGAACTTTCTAAGAACAGTGCCTCCCCCCCAAATAAAAGCTGACTTCCAACCATGCTCTCCCTTTTGGGGAGCCTGAGAGCCTGGGGAAGCCATCCTGAAGATTGTGTAAAGGTAAATGTGTCTGTTTTATTTTGCGTCACCACAGATTCATACGACCTTAGTTCAGCTGTCCATGCTGGATGGGGGTGGCAGTTGGAGCCCCAACAGGGACACTCAATGTGAATTTGTAGGTTTGACTTGCGTTGAGCGCGCTTTAAAAATTCAGAGAAACATGTTTTGGGTTGTGAAAGAAGCAGATAAATGGAGAGTAAGGGACATTAAAAAATTAACATGGGCAATTCCACATCTTCAGAAAAAAAAAAAAAAAAGATTTATCTGATGATCCTGGAGCCTTTAAACTAAAATCAAAAAGAGCCCAGCTAGCTCAAGCAACCTAGTTCAGCTGCCCGTGCTAGATGGCACTCAGTTGGGTGTATATGTACTTTAAAGTTTTCAAAATAGACTGTGAAAAACACTTTGTAACCTGCTCTTGCACTTAATATACTGTGACGACTCCAGGCATGATGGTGCACACCTGCAGTCCCAGTGACTCACTAGGCTGAAGCAAGGGGAACTTATGGTTTGAAGCTGGCAAACGAAATTTAGGGAGACCCTGTCTCAAACAATAAAAAAGGACTGGGGATGGAATGTATCATATAGATAGACATGTATATAGATGTATCATATAGATAGACATGTATATAGATGTATCATATAGATAGATGTGTATATATATCATGTCAAATGTTCTTTTATTAAATTTTTTCCTTGCTGGAGATTGAACCCAGGGTCTTGCTCATGATAAGCAAGCACTATGACACTCAGCTATGTCGGGTGTGGTGGTGCACGCCTATAAGTCCATCAATCTGGGAGGCTGAGGCAGGAGGATCCCAAGTTCAAGGGCAGCCTCAATAATTTAGTGAGATCTTAAGCAACTTAGCAAGACCCTGTCTCAAAATTAAAAAATAAAAAGGGGATGTAGTTCAGTGATTAAGCACCCTTAGGTTCAGTCCCCAGTACCAACAACACTGAGCTACATCCCTAGCACCCTTTCATAACTTTAATGACAGTGTACATTTCATCATATTTAACTTATAAATAATT